TATTCGGGAAGGAAATGATGTGATTGGATGTGGTCAAATAGCTGTTACTGATGCTGCAATGTCGTAGTAGTTGCGAGCGGAGTAGGTGGTTGCTACTGAATTCGGATGCTAGCTCGTGGTCAGGTATATGAGGATGTATTTCATGCTAATTAATGCATCGTAGCTACCTATGGAATTGAATCTACACCATGGAACAACTTCTACGGGTTTCCAGATTATTATCTCGTTGGGTGTTAGGCAGCATCGGGGAAGGAGCAATTGTTCAGATTCCCCAGGGCGCTAAGCATAGTTTCGCCGTTAATTGATGCAATCTGTCCTTCAACGATTGAATATAGACTACGCAAGTACAGATTTGTTCCCCAAAGAGGAAAGACGTTTTTTCGTCCTCTATCTCTTTGGTTATTTTGAGATCAGGAGAAACTTCGGTGAGAGGGTGTCCATGGATGAAATTGGTGGTTCTCGCTAATTCGCATTCTTCACGCAAGATGGATATGCGCTGGCGTCCTACTACTGTGCGGCTGGTTCTTATGTAGAGAAAATTGTGTATTGAGACTTTTATTACGTCTCGATAGCATTTGTGTGCAGTCATTTGTAAAGGTTTGTTGCTTTCACTAAATAACTGTATGTGTGTTTCAATCATAGGCTCTTCTGGGGTTACACTGCATTGTACTAATTTGGGCAGTGAGAGTATGTTAGGGAATGAACTACTTCCGCATATCTGGAAAGATGTTGTAGGTGTTAGCAGACATGCTGCTATGACTGTTTGATGGCTGATAGCCTTGGTAATAGTCCGGGGGATTCGCTATGGCTGGGACGAAAGGTTGTCTGGGATTTACGTAGGGTATTGGCTGAGTGTATGCAGGATATGGAGTGTAGGGCTGGTTAAAGTATCGGAATGGCGTGTTAGGTGGGCGGCGGTCCCAGAATCGGGGATCTGGAAATAGTCTTTTAGGAACGAAACGTACTTGGCGCGGGGGATTGACTCGTAATGCTGGTCTGGGACGATACGGTGTTACTGATCGTCTTTGCTGGAAAATGGGGTTTTGGCGCGGATTAGGTTGAAATCGCACTACCGAGCGAGGACGTTCTCGTCCTGGGCTTCTAGGTGGATTTCGGTTGGATTGCTGAAGGTTATTGACCTGTTCGGTCAGTTCCTCTACTTTCTGATCAGGCACTAGCGAATTTATGCTTTCAATTTCCTTTCCTTCGCGATACTCTTGTTCGAGAATCCTTTGTTCTTTCTCGGCATTAGCGAGAGCAGTTTCAAAGTCTGGTGGGTCGGGGAGTCTTCGCACGGCCCTACGGATGTCGGGTCGCAGTTCTTTTATAAAGAAGTCTATGGCGAGTTTGTTGGGTATCTTTTTATCTTCGCCTTGGTATGCTACCTTGGTCTTTGCTAGAACCTTCTTTGCAAATTCGCCTACTGAATCTTTTCCCTGTCTCAGGTGGTGCAGCTCATCACGAACGTTACTTAGCATAGCCTGGTTCTTATATTTGGTTGCTAATGCTTTGGTCATTGCTTGCCAGGTGGCTTTTTCTGCGGGTTTCAGGGTTTGGTATTCAACTTTAGCTCCGCCTGCTAAGAAAAGGGGCAAGAGACTTTTTGCATAAACGTGAGGAATGTGTAAGCTATCTACTAATTCCCGGTAATCCTCTAGGAACTCTTCAAAAGTTTTATCGGAGTCGCCGGTGAATCTTTCTGAGCGCGTGCCCAAAAGTTTGCTTGAAGCGTATAGGTCGGGTGGATTGTAGTCTAGAGCTTCGTCTTGAGCTTGCTGGCCTCCCCCATTATTGTTATTGTTCCCATTATTATTGTTACCGTTTCCACCGTTACCACCGCCGTTACCGCCATTACCGCCATTACCTCCGTTGTCTTCCTCAGACATTTTGGGTGGTCTTGGATCTGTAAAGCGTTGTCTCTTTGCTGTATCTAAGGCTGCGCTTAACCCCTGGAGTAGTTTGGTAAAAGCGCTTTCTGTTTTCTTTTCTTCTTCTTCTAAGCTTTCTGGCTTGGGTGTTGCTGGGGTTGTTGCTGGAGTTACGTAACCAGACGCTGCTTGGCTAGTTGAAGGTTGTTCGCTTGCACCTACTTCGCTAGCCTGGTAGTCGCCAAATTCTTCCTGACTAGTGGATGGTAGGTCGCTAGAATCTACTCTACCTCTGGAAGTTCTTGGAGTCTCCTCCGCTTCTTTGGATGATTGCTGCTGTCTACGCTCAGCGAGTCTTGCGAGAAATGCCGCTCTTCTTTCGTCAAAACTTTGACGCCTTTCGGACCTACTTAATTCTTCACGTACTTTAGTTTTCTGTTTTTTGGGAGGAATTTTGGTGATCAGTCAAAATGCTTTCCTAAGTGTCAGTAACTAGTGTGCGTGTGTATGTATTTTTATTTTCAAGGGAAAATATTCAAAGATTTTTTTGAGAAGTTGGATCGTAGGAATTGAAGTTATGAAGTTCTGTTTCTTCCAAGGAATGATTCAATTGGGAGTTGGAGAAAATTACACGTTGAATGCTACTGCTACTTTTATGTCTGATTCTTTCGAAGATGGATAGAGAGCAACGAGGCTAAGTTCTCAACAACACTTTACACAAGAGAACGGATATGACGAAAGTTCTCTTACTCATTTTGCGAAGGTATATTGAGTGTAAGTGTTCTGAGACTCACTTCAGTGGCTGAGTTTGATGGCTGTTGAATGAATAGATTGATAGTTGGATTACGGTAGTTGAGAATGCGAGGTAGGCTGTGGTGATGCTAAAGTAGCAAGCTGTCGGAGTGGATGCTCTGACAACTATGGATCGTGAGTGAGGTTGACGAGTGTATATATATATCGTACGGCTGGGGCGTGTCTTCCGTGGTTCTTAGCCTTTCTCAGAATTACTACGCAGGGCAGATGGCATAAGCGCATGGCCAATGGTCTTTTGAGTTTATAAAGTTGCTGGAACTTGCGGAGGCAGCTTTTAATGTAAGCTATCGGCCATGTGGCTCTCGCGGTTTTCGGTCCTTTTTTCCGCGAAGGCTTATGAAGCGCGTGGCGAGGCATGTCTAAACGAGGCTGGCTTAAAAGAGCGGCGGGCTACGGTCGCAAGATGGCAACGCGGAAACTAAATTCTTTGCGAATATAAATCCAGCAAATATGTATTGGCTCCTATAAAAGTAATTGTTGCACTGTTTCGGAAACTAGCTATTAGATGAGAGACTGATATTCGAGCATGGCACAAATAGAGCTCGCACGTTGGTTAAAATTGGTAATGTGACTCGAGAGCCATTCTAGGATTTCATTTGGGATAATCGTAGTTGCGGCTGCATATGTATGATAGGGAAACGTATGCGAGTAATGTTTTGTAATAGTTAATTGCCCTGCTCGGGTTTTGAGGCCGGTATAAAATTACCTTTGTTATACTGGCTGGGAGTTTGCACAGGGGGGGAGTAATCGAGCATGCAGATTACGAATACAATATTAGTTTTCAAGATCGTCCATTACTTTTATCGATTTTATTGATTTTTTGAAAATTTGAGCTACGGGGCTGGGAGTTGGCACAGGGGGGTAATCGAGCATGCTGATCACCCCCCCGAAAACCAATATTGTATTCGGAATCCCCATGCTCGATTACCCCCCTGTGCCAACTCCCAGCCCCGTAGCTCAAACTTTGCAAAAAATCGATAAAATCGATAAAAGTAATCGATAATCCTGAAAACCAATATTGTATTCGGAATCCCATGCTCGATTACCCCCCTGTGCCAACTCCCAGCCCCGTAGGTGAACTCAGCAAAAAAATCGATAAAATCGATATCGATCGATGACGAAAAGTAGCCTATGACACCCGCCGGGGCCCGAAGTGTATGTGTGCCAAGTTTGGTCCGGATCGGTTCAGAAATGGAATTTTCTATTCGGAACATACGTACAGACATACAGACAGACAGACAGACAGACATACAGACAAATAGACATTCAGCTTTATATATAAGATTGGTGCACCCAGCAAATTTACTTTGCAAGTGACGTGGTACCACATACATCATATATAATCAGTAAATATTTATTTGAGATTTTGATGAAAGCGGCAGTAATTTTGCTCGTTTAGAAAAGTACTTAATAAAACATAAAAATGGAATGCTCCAGTTTTCCGCGCATGTTCTAAATTTTCACGATTAAACAGGAAAAACAAAATTGCAAAATTTTTTCCTAATTAACTATGTAATTGGGGCTCTGTGGTAAGCCGTTAATTGTTGAATCTTAATTATGGTACAACGGAAATTTCGTAACCTTGGACTCTTACAGTGCGGAACTTCATGTCCAGGCCTGTGCAGTGATGAAGGGTTTCGCGACACGGTATTCAAACTGAGACAATCGAGGGATAGCCCAAAAAGACAAGGGTCTAGAGGATCTAAAGGTAACCTTAAATGAAGCAGAAAGATTTCCGTCTTTGTGCTCTCAAATAAACTGTTGGCCTTCCAAAATAAAGCATTACTGCAAGAGACTTGCATTTCGACATGATCTGGCACAAAGTGTTATTTGAATATTTTGCATTTCTTTAGTGAGCTGTTGCCCTGCTATTGGCTGCAAAGCGTTTTTCCTCCACAGAAGCTTCAAGTGGCGTGACTTGGGATCGCCTTATGGTATGAGTAACGAACAGGGCCCGGCACGAGATGGGCAAATGACAAGCTGGAAGACGTTTTGTAGTCAAAAAGCAAGGGGATATCGTTTTTGCGGGGTCCGGGGCGGAGCCCCCGGAAATTGGTTTTCACGCTCTCAGCTTGTTTTAACATGTTACGTGCACCGACACGCGAACACGCTGGAGTTCGCTCGCGTCAAAGCGCACTGTCGCTGCCGCACGCGCGACGTCGCTCAATCATGCGTTTCGGGGCACCATACATGAGTAGTTCTCAATGTATGCATAACGATATGGCACCAAGTTTCGTAAGCAAACGAAAAGAGGCTAGTGGAGACAAAGTGTAAAAAATTATTTATTTATTTATTTATTTAATACGCACAAGGCGCGCTCATACAACAGAAAAACGAAGCATTACACCAAACAACCAACAACAAAAAGCAAAACAAAAAGGCAAACTTCCCACTGAATCAGCTCAAGTCCAGTCCGCAAAATCTTCCTGGGAATGGAAAGGGAGTGAGCTTGTTTAGACATATAATCACAGGTATAGAGGTTCAATGGAGTCTGTCTCATGCCCCCTGTTTTAGCAAAAAATGCTCTTATTCAACATAAGCAATTGTATATGTTGGAAGCAGGTGAATTGGTAGTAAGTAGTAATATTGATAAAACCCGCCCAACCAGAACTCTGGGGAGAGGACAGAACTCCGATGAAAGAGATTGCACAATGCAAGTGTGTCAAGCCCAAACAAGCTATCCCAAGCATAACGGAAGTGACAAGATGGAACCAGACCCAAACTAACGCGTGAGGCATGAAAGTATTAGAAGAAAACCGAACAAAAAACGACAGTGATGAACCAAGGTCCAATGGAATGGTAGAGTCTGATCTAACATAAACTACAGTCCAACAAAGCATTCGTTCTTCGCATTCCCTCGACCACCATCAGCCCAGAGTAAGGATCAACATGAGACAGGTAGAGTCGTGTGCCATAGAACCGTCATACGAGAAAGATAGTGGACCGCATGGACAAGAGCAAGAATCTAGAAAGAAGACTATTGAGAGATGGAAAAATAAAATAGAAGAAAAAGAAGGGAAAAAAAGAAGTGTAAAGAAGATCAAGCCTCAGAACCAAACCGTAGAAAAACCATCACAACCATAAGCCCCAAAGACCTAAACCCTAAAAGAATCTGAACACAAATATTAGAACGCAACGTAATCAAGAAGAAGTATCACTGCTCAAAAGTTGAGACAAATCAGCTTTTTTCAATTTTTTCTTGAAGGCTTCACCGCCACGCACTGACACGATATCAACGGGTAAGCGCTGAAGCCATCTTGCACAGCGGAAGAACAGGTAGTTGATTATTTCAGACTGATGTAGCTTGATAGGTTTATAATGCAGATTGAAGCCACCTAGCCTCGTACTAGCAGGTTTAAAGATCCAAAATTTGCTTGCTTTCAATTTTATTTCCTTGCGAAGAATACGAAAACAAAAGACCAGGTCGGATATCATGCGTCTAATTCTGAGAGGAGTCAATCCCAATTTATTAGAGCGTAGGTGACAGTCTGGAATATCAACTAGTGTTCCACCACTCACACGACGAATGACCAGGCGGGTAAAAGTGTGCTGAACTCTTTCAATCTTCATTATATCTTTTTTTCGGGAAGGAGTCCAAACTTGCGAGCAATATTCAAGATGTGGAATAACATAAGCTTTGTATAACCGGGACAGTATTATAGGATTACGAGTTTGTATATTACGATAGATTGTAAATAAAGTGGCATATGCCCTGTTGACAATTGAATCAATATGCTTAGAGAATTTCAAATCACAATCGATAATAACTCCCAGATCTTTCACATCTTGACAAGCAGTCATCTCAACTCCATCAATTTTATACGAAGTTGAGGAGTGCTTGCCAAGATGGAGGAAGGAACATTGTCTTGGGTTGAGAGAGAGTCCATTCTGAGACGCCCAAGCACACATTTTATCAATCGATGACTGCAAAGCATCATGAACTGTGTCAAGATTGTCTTCATCTTAAGATGCATATATCTTTGTATCGTCCGCATAGATTTGAACATGTACATTCAATGTTTTTAAAGTATCAGGTAGGTCCAAAGTGTATACCAAAAATAACAAAGGAGATAGGACAGCTCCTTGAGGAACTCCACTAGGACAGGGAAATTTTCTGGAAAATTCATGACCAATCTTTACTGTCATGCATCTATTGCTCAAGTAAGACTCAAACCAGGTTAGTAGGTTTGATGAAAAACTTATGTGAATAAAAGGTGTAGTAAGCATTTTTTTTCAAAAATTGTGCATAACTGATGAGTGAAGATGTGAATTCAAATGACTCGTTAGCAACGCACAAATGACGACATGGTATGAAACTTGGTAACTAACTACATGCACACGGGCCTGCAGGGCTTAAATGAGAAGTTTCAATGAAAAATTAAGTGACTGAAGATTGTGGCAAACTTTTTTCTGAAAATTTCCCGCTACCAATAAATGACAAATTGGCTCGTTTGCGATGCAGAAGTGATGAAATTGCGCGGGCTTTGGTGTGTATATGCGCAGTAGGACTAAGGAACAGACTTTGAAAAATTATGAAAAGCTTATGCGAATGAAGAGCGTGCCCAACTTTTTTCTAATTTAGGTTTTCATTTGACAACCTAATGACAACCAGGTTGGCACAGGTTGGCAAAACTTCCAATTCACATAATTTTTTCAAAATTTTTACATGAGATCCGGCTCTACACCTAAAGCATAGTATATCTTGACATTTTGGTTTCAGACCTCCTCCTCTCCTCATTGCTAGAGCCGAATATAGCTTCAGCAGCCCCGTTTCCTAACGAGGAAAGCCATGGGAATCAGTATGAACCCAGCTTCTGAGCTCCATGTACGAACATCCGGGCCGGAGAGCCGATAAATTTGAAAGAAAACATTTTAGCAATAATTTATTTTCCCTACCCTACTCATCTTGAAGCTTAGCAGCCTTTTCCGTCTTTTTGCATAATTCCCCAAAGCCTTAGCTGCTGACCTGTTTTCTTTATGATCACTTATCTCTTTTCTATGAAGTCAATAAAAACCTTTGGAAGTTGTCTGGTAACTTAATCCGACATTGCTGAGCAACGGGAACAAGTGAGCAGCTATCACGATATTGTTAAATGATTGCAATTTACATACTTTTTTCTTGGTAAATTTACGAACCAAACCTCAAAACTCGGGGTTTCGAAATTCGAACTTTTCGATAACTCATGTCTTTTCAAAACATGTCCAGCAGTTTTGGATTAGATAATTGAGTACAAGACCTTAAGAAAAGAACAAGAGCATCATCTTAGGATTATGCAAGAAATTGAGAAGGCTTTCCATGGCAGTAGACTTTTATTCGAAATATTCATTATAGGGAGTGGTCACTACGTAATATATAATGAATTCGTTGTTTACCCATCAAGCCACCAGATTTGTGGAACAGGCAAACGAGGAGGCCGCAGACGGAGAAATTATGATGAAACACACTGATCTTTGGAATTAAATTGCTGCCAAGTGGCATGCGTTTTGGAACGCTGCCAAATTTCATAACGAGTGACCAAGCATATTTTCGTAAAAGGGTCACACGTATTTCGAAAGGCGATCATGAGTGTCGCAATGATTTTGAGAATATGCCGCCAGTGTCCGGGTGTGTTATTTGTACCTCTTTTTTTTCGAGCTTGTTATCCCAGAATGTGTCTTTCAAATATGTTGTACTCCTATTAGTTGCTGAAATGATGCCAAATTGCGTAACACCGTGACTTGAGCTAAATTCATCTATGTTCTCAACCCTTGGTAAAAATGCTTTAAGAACAGTCACTTTAGGATTATTTTGCTTCCGCGTGTAGACAAGAGAGTGCGTGAGTAACTTGGACTCGCTGGTACTTTTGAAAGCGCTTATCTAACAACAACCTTGTTTTGCTTGTGTAACTGGGTCCCGCTGCTGCTTTCAACTAGGTATCGGTGTGTAAGCGGCACGTAGGGCAATTCGATCGGGCAAGGAAACAGATTTTTGTGCGTTTGGGGCATTCTTATAATTTTTAAACGGTCTTCAAGCGGCACATAGGGCATGAATTTCATTTTTGAAAAGTTACTATCGGTCTGTAAGCGGCACGTAGGACAACTCGATCGGCCAGGGAAACAGATTTTTTGTATGTTGATTGACGGTCTTTAGGTGGTTTAGTAGTGTGCTTTTCGGGGAGTGATCTCCTTTTGTAGTAAAACTTCATATTCCTTTGGCGAAAAAATTAAGGGATTCTCTGAAAAAGTCCTTGCACGATTGATTTCGTAGCTGTCGGAATTGATTCTGAGAGAAAAGTGTTTTTCGTAGTACACATAGTTGTCATGGGTGTATTTCTACAAAACTATAGGTCTTCTGCTACTTACTCAACGATCTTTTTGGAACTTGTTGAGAAGAACTGGAAAAGCAAATTCTCTTTGAGAGAGTAGAAAAGTGGGAGGGGGGAGGTTATCTGAATGTCCCTGAGAGGAGGGGAAATTTACAGAAAGAGCGTGGTAAACGAGAGGAAAATAATATTCTCCATGTATTGTTGTAGCAGGAATTTCGAGAAATATTGAATGATTTGTGGAGATTATCGCTTCTTCGAGCATTTCTCCTTTTGTAGGATGCTTTTCGCAAAAAAGTTCTCAGGAAAGGAATAGGAAATTTGAGAACTGCCCCGACCCACTTGCACCCGTAGGGTCGCTAGTAATGATATATTAGGTTGTCCCGAAAGTTTTGTCGGTTTCTTCAAACCACTATGAAACCACGCACAATAAAGACATGAATGAGTCTTACAGTGCATTTGATGCAACTTTCTCTTCTCTTTCTTATGATTACATTTTCGAACCGCAATCCTGTATCTTTTTTTGATAATTGCCAAAATTCTTCACTAGCCATTTTTATCTGCTTAAACTTAGGCTATTTTTCAAAAATTTCTTTTCAAAGTTTCGGAGAGGGTTGAGTAAGTATCAAATAGAGCAATTCCAGGACTTTACGGAGATATTTTTTAATTCTCCTAATCTGCTGTGTTTAGCTCAAAAAAAATTTTTTTCGGAGGCCTTGATTTTCAGCAATGTCATGAAAAAGGCAACTGCAGCAAAAGCAAGAAAACTTTTGAAGTTTCTGCGAATTCAAACTTGATTGTTATCAAATATTATTTATGCAACATAACCAAGTTTGATTTGCTTCAAAAATCAGCTTTTTGGAATTTTCGGTACTTTTACGTGGTAAACTTATTCAAAGCCGCGGTTTTTACTAAATAAATAATCATAACGTACTTAATAAACGAGGCCCACGTGATCTAAAATAAGTACAGTGTAGCCAAAGGTTTGCTCTACATAACAGTCAGTCACCAGCGCTCCTTGAAAATATCAGTAAAAAAATTTTGAAAATCCAGGAAAGATTTGGCGCTATTGCTGAGATGCTCAAAAAGCCATGGCCATAACATCACAAAGACGGGGTAGATCAGAAAAGAAATATAGCTGTAAGAAAGGGGATAAAAATCTGAATATGGTACCTAGGTCGTCCATGGCTTTCTGTGAGTTTGAGTGAGCGACGAAAAAAACCGACAAAACTTTCGGGACAACCTAATAGCGTGGATTCCGGCTAGCTTCCCGTAAGTACCTGCGCGACGCACCCCCAACGCACTTCCTGTCCTAGCTTCCGATAGAATTCCTCACTTCCTCAGCAGCAAAAAGAGCCCGCGAAAGTATGCGCGGTGAAAGCTATGAGAAGCTGGCTAGGACACATACTATAAACTTACAGAAGGAACGCTGCCTGAGTCCTGGCGAATGTGTTGTTTTATGCGTGTTTTTGACTTGCTCACTAAAGCTTCATGCACGTCGTTACTGAAATTGAAAGGTGTTATAAGGAGAGTATGCATTTACGTGGAGAGGGTGACGAAGGGGAGGGGGGGGGGGGATTCGCAGTGAGGACCCTGAGTGCGGGAGTGACGGCGAAGAAGCTCGCTGCTGCAAAGGCGCCACTACGCTGGTTACCGTTGCCGC